GAACGCTAAACTTGCTCGATGCGACTTCTGGCGTGGAGGACAGGAAGGCGGGTGGGGAGGCGGTTATTGCTTTGAGGGAGAGTCCCCCTCCCTACAGGAAGCCACGACCACGTGTCATGGCAGGGAAAATGGCCGCGGATCCTCTTTGTCACCCGATGTGGAGTTTGCGGGCGGAAGCAAAATTTTGCAAACAGTGCTGTTCGTGACCCGAATTGGTCGTGAACAGAAGCGTTCGTGACTCGAGGTACCACTGTACTTTGATTTCTAAAGTGTTAACAATATCATACCTGGAAATGAGTAAATGTCTGGTTGAGAAAGGGGGAAAAAATGACTTTATTACAGCTGAGAAAATTATATTTGAATGCTTAGATTTTTATTTTACATTTTGAGAGTATCAAGTTGGGGGAAAGCTTATGTGCAGTTTCTAGCTAACAGCATTCTCTCACTGAATATTCTTTCTGTCCAGTCATTTTTAATCTACCTCCTAATTATTTTACTTGTTCCACTACCCCATCCTTGTCCTCTTCCTTCTCCCACATTTTTGAGAGAGGTCAGTTTTGCTGATCCCTTGATCCTGGGAACTTCTTCTCAGGCACATCATTGTCACCCTAGTTTCTAATTGTACTTCCTGTATAACAATATTCATTTTTCATTGCTAGATTTGGATCCATTTCTCACTCATTAACATCAATCATACTTTTTCCTGTACTATCCATCAATATAATCATATAAACCTCTGAAGCTAAATTTACCTTCAGGAATGGTATGGTAGGAGAGGTGTTCTGGCAGACTCTAGAAACAATTTATTTTCAGTTAATGCTCTCTCAATATTTCAAAAATAGTTCTCTAAGACAAAGAAATAGTTACATAGCATAACAGAATCATACAAAAGGACACAACTGCACATAGTTATTTTTATTCAGAGAGTTTTTACATTACAAACAATGTAATTATCTGTGATATTGTTAAGAAAAACAATATGTTTACAGTTGCTTTTATTGGTGAAGACAACTCACAGCTGAAGTTCATACTTTTAAAATGGCTTAAACTGGGGGGGGGGGATATTTTGTTCTCAATTAAGGCTAAAAATTTAATAAACTATGATATCCTACATCTCTGGTATCAATAGTTTATTTTGCTCAAGTCCAACCAGTTTCTTAACCCAATCCTTCCATCTCACATGACACACACTTGAAGACCAATAATGGTCTGTAGATACGATGTATTAAAAATACACCAGTCATTAGCTGAAAGGGATTCAGCTACTAATAGCCAACCACATGTATTATCAAACACAAGTTCTCCAGTTAAATCCTTATTTCCAGAAGACTTATGAACAGAAGGCACATTATTATTGATGGATGACATTTTCTTGGCCTATAATGGTATAAACTGGCAAAGGGAGAAACCTGAGCAGCTAAAAATTGGCTTGGCTTATACAGCATCATACTCCATTATTACAGGTAGATTAGACTCCTGAGATCTGCAAAATGGCAACACTGTAGGATAAAATCCAACAGTTCTTAACAGCAACTACCTTGACTGTGTGAGCTTTCAGACATCATTATCTTTTTGCAAAAAGTCAGCCAATGTTCCAGCATCCACAGGAATTAATAAATATTCCACTCCATCAACACCCTAAAAACAAACAAACTGAGAATTAGTTTAGAGATATAAAAATGGCAAGGTTTTTTTACTCAGTCCCACTCGTACATAATTGATATTTTGTCAGGAATCTATATGAAACAAATTTATGCTTGTGTTGCAATTTGTATAACTGAGTGAGAGCAATGTTTGGCTTCTATCAATAGCATAGTTACAAAAAATATGGCATTTTGTCTTCACTAAGAAATACATAATATGTGATACTCTACTGGCATTCATTAAGGTAGCCAGAATAATTCAGCCTAAATTCTTTCTGCAACTCAAACATGGTTAAGTAAGCACACAAGTTCACAACTCACACAAAATAGCACCTCACTTACCCTCTTAGTCCGAATGAGCTTGTGATCCCTGAATTCGGTGAGCTGAGCTCTAAGCGTTAGGTCGCTATTGACCAAGAAGGCCTCCCGACACCGTTGATACAAATCTTGGAAAGAAAGACCTAATAAAAGAGAAGGAAACGAAGCTTAACATCAAGCATAAAAAATAAAATCTTGTTCAAATGGATAACTCTTACTTCAATACCAAGGAACATCATCTAATCTAATCCATAGAATCTAATTCCTAGTGCTAAGAGTAATTTTCTTCTAAAACTTTCAATGAGAAATGCATGTATTAACAATTGTACATAAAATTAGTTTAAGACCAGAGCAAAAAATGCAGGTGAAGGCAAATGAAGCCACTAGTGTTCAAGCTCAGAACGTACTTGGAGCACATCTCAACATACGGTTCTGATCTGTCTGCATATACAGTGTCAGTTTGCACATGTTCTTCCTTTCTTTATACTCTGATTTTACCATCCATAAAATTTACCACCCAGTATCAATCCAGTAAGGTTTGTGCAGTCAGTAGCTCACAAACAAAAATTGCAAAGCTCATTTATATTGTGATTTGGATATAATGGAAATTATTGCTAAATCAGAAGCATGAGAGAGATTTTATGCTACATAATAGCTTGAGGATATGCCTGCACTAATCCAGTTGGCTGGCTGCCCACACTGCTCTAAGCCATAATGTAGCCTGTTCTTGGCTTAACTTAATGTGGGAACATACTCATGGTTTAGAATTAACTGTAAACTTGAACTTTATGAATGTTCAACAAAGTTTGGATTATGTATGAGCTCAGCCATTGTATGATCTTCATTTTCCTAGATATGTAGATACTTTGACAAAAATGTTATAATAAAGTAATTTGTTATTTTTGCACACAAAAACAATATGCACCAGAATCTATCAGTGAGAAACAGCACTGGAATTTGTCTACATGTATACACTAATTAATGTACAGTCAAAGGCTTAAATGACCAAACTCACAGAAGCCAAGACTTAGCTGTTTGGTGAATTAGGGAAGTGGAACAACATGAAGGGAGGCATGAAAACTGCACTGCAAGCACTTCCTAAACAGCTATTTGAGTGGGCTAGTGTGAGCACAATTTAAATGGGAACTGTGGATAGAGACAGCCATTCCATTGCACCATCCTTACGATTTAAATTGTGTTCCTTGTGAGGGAGTGCTTAGAGGAACCTTATAACCTAAATAAATTAAGATCCATTAGCCCAAGGGCAGAGTTGGTACTGGCTGCAAAGCCTCAGACTGCTCTTAAATATTTTCCACTTTACTTCCTAGCTTAGTGATCTCTTTAGTTTAAAGCTATATCATATACCAAACTCTTGTCTTGACAACTCTAGTTTGACCTCCAGAAAACAAATTACAAATGCATGTTACCTAGATAGGAGGGATTATCCTTATTCTCCAACTGATACTCTACCAAGAGCCTAAAAATACCCCTGAAAAGAGAGACAACCATGTTAATATAGTTAAATACAACAAGAACCATACACCCACTCTTTGTTTAGCGACTACCTCGATTAGCGACCATTCGCAAATATGATAGTAATCAAAAATTAATTTTCCAACCAATATGCACATTTATGACCAAATTTTGTGCACCTGAAAGCAACGCAGGCCAGAGTGAAAGTAATGCTAGCAGAACTGTACAAGAGAACTTTATCTGAATAAGACAGCAGCAACCAGTGATCTTCGCATCTCTCTCAGTCATGTGTTCACTTAGCAACCATTTCACTTAACAACCTGCTTGTTGGAACAGAACTCAGTCACTAAACAAGGAGTGGGTGTACTTTTCTTCAATGAGAAAAAAAGTTCTAAGAAGAATCCATACTCCTCACACCATTTATATGTTCTTACTTTTATATTTTATTTTGCAATTCCACTGAACACTGGAATAGTTCTTGCTATTCCATGCATCAGTGTAGCTGCTGTTTTTTATCAGTAGGTTTTTCTCTTCCCAAAGAAAAAAACCTTTTTTATATTTATACTTATCTAAATTTAGCCATTTATTTGTGTGCACATAAGACAGAAACACCATCTACTTTTAAACTCCTCATTTGTGAAGGAAAGGAGAAAAGCACTATGAGCAAAATCATTCCCCCAGAGATACGACTGGCCCCCACCTTGATACTTTCCTGGAAGGCCCTGGTTTTGCCAGCAGGCCTGGGGACCCCAGGCTGAGACAGAGCCAATGAAGTGGTTGATTTGATTGTGTTAGTAGCCGCCACGGGGTGCGGGGGGTTGATGGGCTTTGTGTATTGTGTATTTTAATTCTGTAAGCCACCCAGAGTCATAATGTGTGAGTTGGGCAGCCATATAAATTTGTTTAAATAAATAAATAAAATAAATCAAAGAGTTGGGTTTTACCTCAGCTATGTTATAAAAAA